GCATATCCTGAATGCTCAGTCTGAACCCAGCTCTCTGCTAGGTGTTTGACACGTTTGAGCTAAGTGAAATTTTCATTGTATTTAAAAGAAAAATCCGAGCTGGCCGAGTGGCTCAGGTGGTTACAGTGTGAGCTCTGAGCAAGAGGGCTGCCAGTTCAATTCCCACATGAGCCAGTGAGCTCAGCCAGAGCTGAGCTGTTGCTGAGCTGGTGAGAGTGCGGGCTCTTAACAACAAGGTTGCCAGTTCTACTCCCGCATAGGATGGTGGGCTGCGCCTGCACCCTCCCAACCCCAAGCAACTAGATTGAAAGCAGCGACTGGGCTTAGAGCTGAGTTTGCACTCTCCACAACTAAGATTGAAGGACAACAACTTGACTTGGAGCTGATGGGTCCTGGAAAAACACAATGCTCCCCTTCTGCAATTCCCCAACACTGTTCCCTTCCCCAATTCCCCAATAAAATATTTTTTAAAATAAAATTAAAATCCTGTTTTACAGATGAAGAAAATGGAAGCGCTAACTCATTCAGTCACTCACCCAAGATCGCAGCAAACAATGGTGAAGACCAAAGGAGGCAGAGACCACAGGAATAGGCAGGTATTTGAGACAGAATCAGCAGTACTTGTAAGCAACTGGCGGTGGGGAGGAGGGGAAGCCGGAGCCCTGGCTAAAGCTGAGGCTTTACACGTCATGGGTGGGATGCAGCAGGAGACAAGCAGGTTGGAGGGGAAGATAATGAGCTCAGTCTGCCCAGATGTCTCCAAGCCGCTCTCTTGAGAAATGGTGTTTATAACATGACAATGTCTATAATTTGGCTTCCGGCATGACTCGATAATTAGCTTAAGTTATCCCTCATTGGCATTTCATTCAAAGCAAGGACACTCTCCATTCATTCTGATGAGGCCTGTTTTCTGTGAGCATTACAGTGTGAGTGTGAACCTGGAGCTGTGCAGTCTCTCTCTTGGCTCAAGGGGGCCAGAGACTGAAGTCATGGAGTGGGTGGGCTTGGGGGTGTGGAGCTCACCTCCATAGGGAGCTGCCTCAAGGTGGAGACCTGGAACCTGCACAGTCAGTGCCCACCAGGAGTCCAGAGATTGGTTCCAAGATCCAAGTGGAGGATATAGTGACAAAGAAGATGGGATATGAGAGGTCAGTTGGGAGGCAGCTGCTGAGGTCAGCTACAAGGACGCTTAGGGCTAAAAAAAAAAAAAAAGGCTGTGTTTAAGGGACACAGGGAAACTTTTTGATTTAAGAGGTGTTGACAAGGTAGATTTTATGAGATTTGGTGGCTAATTCAGAGGAATGAGTAGATAAAGAGTTGAGAAGGACCCTCAGGTTTTTGTCTCAGGAGAGAGTGAAGGCTATTTACTGAGGTGGGACCTGCAAGAGGAGGGCGGGTCCAAGGATGGGGAGATGTCAAGTTTGCTTCCCAGGATTTCAGTTCAAGGGAGCCAAATCTAAGTGGCTGTGGTCTGAGGAGACCTGGAAAGGAGGTCGGGGACTGGAGGGCAGTCAGGACTAAATTATGAGCACACGGGTCAAGGTAGAAGCTATGGGCGTGGATAAGCTCTTCCAGGGAAAGTCACGTGGACCCAGAAGACCCCGCGGAATGGGCAGGGGAACAGGACTCCAACAAAGGCAGCTGAGAAATGTGAGACATGCAGGGTGGTCATGGGGATCAAATGCCATGGAGAGGTTAAGTAGGACAATGACCAAAAAAGCTACTGGCCTTAGTGATTCCGAATGAACAAGTCAGGGGTCTGGAAAACCGACTCTGGCTTCTTAGAAAAAACAGAGAAATGGGAGGGATCCCCTGGAGGTGGAGCCCAAGAAGCATAAAGGTCAATTGTCTCTCAACAGGACGTGGCACAGGACACAGCACCCACTGGCACCATGAGCAAAGCCATCAAGAGGTACTCCCAGCCACCACTTGGTTCTCAGAGAAAAGTATGAAGGCATCAGATTGGCAAGGCCTGGGTCACATGCCCCCATCTCAGTGCCCAGGACACAAAGACAGAGGCACAGAATTCCTTCCTTTGGCTCTTTTAGTAAATATCTACTGAGCACCTAGTATGTGCCAAGCACAGGTCTAGGCCCTTGAATACAGCAACGAAATCCACAAAGATCCTTGTCTTCATGGCATTGACATTGGAGGGGAAAGATTGACAATCAACAACAGGCATAAATATGTGAATAATGTAGACGGTTAAGGGCAAAGAAAAAGTGTAAGGAAGATTGGGAACGGGAGGGAAGAACACGGCTTGCGATTTTAAATAGTGTGGTCAAGGAGAGCCTAACGGGGAAGGCAGGAGCATGCCTGGTGTGCACAGGAAACAGCCAGGAAGCTGGTGTGGCTGCAGCACATGAGCGAGGGGCAGCGATGAGGCCAGAAGGATGGGGGCCGCAGACTGGCTAGGACCTTGTAGGCCCCTGTAAGGACGTAGGCTTCCCTCTGAGTACAAGGGGCACTCTGGGAGGAATTGGGTCCCAGGGGTTACCTGATCATCCTCCAGTTTTTTAATAGGATCACTCTGGCCACTATGTAGGGAATAGATGGCAGGGGCAAGGATGGAGGCAGGGAGACCTATTAGGAAGCTACCATCATGATCCAGGGGAGAGAATGATGCTGGAGGTGGTGGGAAGTCATCTGATTCTGTGTGTATTGTGAAGGTAGAGCTGGCAGGATTTGCTGACAGAGTGGATGTGGGAGAGGAATCAGAAATGATTTCAGATTTGGGGCCCGAACAATGACAAAGATGGAGTTGTCTTCAGTTGAGATGGAGAAGGCTGTGGGTGAAGCAGGTGGCATGGGTGGGGGTGGGAAGGAAAGGGTAGATGGAGAGTTCTGGGGTAGATCACCTAACAGGGCACTCCCCTGAAACAGGAAGGGAGGACATTGGACAGCCACAACCTCCAGAAGACATCCACAACTGGTGACCTCCGGCAGAGCAATTTCAGCGGACGGGGAGGGGGGTGGTCCAGAGAGCAAACGTGGGTTAAGAGCATGGAGATAGCGCGTGGGCTCTCCGGATTTACAAAGCAGAGCAGGGATGGGAGACCCAGCAACCCAGAGACAAGGCCAAGGGGATGACCTTTTGGATGGAGGTGTCCTGAGCCCATGTGGAGGCTGAAGAGAAAGAGGTAGGTGAAGGAGAAGTTGCAGATCAAGATAGAGAGACTCCACAAGAGGAGAGATGGGTCCCAGCTGAGGCTTGGCCTGGGAAAGCAGAGGTTCAAGCTCAAGGAGCTGAGGGACCAGGAGCAGGGGGAAGGGTCCCAGAGATGGTTTGAGTGGAAGGAGTCAGGTGTGACACGAGAAAATCCCTACTCCTGCCATCGTCCTGAAGGCCTTCCATGCGAACCTCTGAGTCCAAGTTTCCTCATCTTCACATCCTCCGGCCCCCGGGTCCCACCTTGCTCCTGCCATGACTAAGGAAAGTCTGGACACCCTGGAATCCTCCATCCTCTGAACACAGCCTCATACCTGAGTCCAAATCCACGCGTCTGCTTTCTCTGCTCTGCTGCAGCCCACAGTTGGGGGACACTGCTCACTTGCTGTCCCCCAGCCCTGCCTAGCCCTTCTATCCCCCAGTCCTGAGTGGCTCCCTCTCCTGATCTCCATGTGGGCCCCTAACTCAGCAAAAGCTTTGCTTTCTGTTTCAGAAAGAAAATACAGTGCTGAGAGAAGCCAAAAATGAAAGAGCACATATTGTAAGACTCCACTTTTATGAAGTTCTAGAACCAGCCAAATGAATTTATCATGATCTAAACTGATAGAAATCAGATCAGCGTTGTCTGGGGCTTGGGGGAATGTAATGGGATATGAAGGAACTTTCAGGGTAGATGGAAAGGTTCTATATCTTTACTGGGGTGGTGGTTACACAACTGTATATTTTTGTTAAAAGTCGTCACTTACACACTTAAGATGTATGCATTTTATTATGTGTAAATTACACCATAAAAAGTTGATTTAAAAAACAGTGATGGATGTTAACTATATTACAGTAATCATTGCACAATATATTGATATATACATATCAAATCATTATGTTGTACCCCTTAACCTAATGTTATATGTTATGTTATTATATCTCAATAAATTATACCTCAATAAAACTGGAAAAAAGAGAAAACTAAACATTTTTTTTTAAGATTTTTTTTTTATTGGGGAATTGGGGAACAGACAAGTTGCTGTCCTTTTGTTCTTCAGTCTAGTTGTGGAGGACGTTGCTTCACTGGCCCAAAGTTGGCACCATCATTGCGCTCTTCCCGGGCGAGGCAACAGATCAGTCGCCAGCTTCTGGATGGCCACTCACGGCAGCTGTGGCTACACACGGTAGCCCATGGCAACCCACTGCCACAGGGGCTGCAGCCTATGCCTTCACAGGCGACTCACGGCAGCCCAGCTCCAGGTTGAG